CTCAAAAACAAGTCAGTTGTGCAGAAAGGTGGTGGAATCTCACTCCATGGAGATACCCAAAACCCAGCTGGACACAGTCCTGGGCAACCTACGCTAGCTTACCAGCCAATTTCATTGATTTTGTGATTCTGTGAAATATTTCCTGTTTTCTCAAATGCAAAAAGAGACTGCAGAAAGCTTGATGTGTGGGATTGAAAGGCAAGGTCAAACTCCTTCTATAAGGGACTGGGACTGTGCTGGAAAGACAGAGCTGGTCATCTGCTCCCGTACAAGATCCTTCCAGATTCATTAAATACATTGTTTACAGTGTCTGTTTCACCACTGATGAACAATTTTGCTCTGTTTGTTTCTCAAAGAGACACTTAAAATCTTGCTCATATTTTTTTAATCATTCCAATTGCCAGCCTCTCAGAGTGCCCTTGGTATTATCCAGCAATGACTGAATGATCTGTTTCATTTTTGTCCTCAGAACCACAACGTTATCAAGTCACAGCTGTGGGTGATGGAAGCACCAGCTCTCTGACCTTGCTGTAGCCTTGCATAAACAGGAATGCAAGGACTTTGATGCAGGTGTGTCTTCCTCCTCAAGAGCTTCCAGCAAATACTCTGGAACAATGGATAGGCCTGGAAGAGGAGCCAGGGTGCCATGACAACAATATACACTCTAAAGAGAAGAGATACATCATCAATATCTGGGGTTCCTAGACTTAAAAGTTGGTGAGCACTGACTGTGTGAATGAGTCACACTGAGAGCACCAAAGCTTTGCTCCTGCCATTCACAGGAGTAACAGGGAGCACATCCAATAAAGTGTGACTGCAGCCAGAGCAGGAGTCCTTCCATCTCTGAGGGAGATGAGTGTCTCTGAGCCTCTCAGCGTCTTACCACACAACCCAAATTTAGTCTGCAGTGAATGTCTACAGCAGGGGTTCCACTGATGAAGTTTAAATCATTTCCAAGCTCATTTGCTTGCTGCAGAACATTTTTCTTCTGTGTGAAAGATGCAAGTGTTTCTAGGCTGAGATCCACTGGGAGGTTTCAGTCCAAAAGCAAAATCAAGGTTGAGTTGCTGAAAGAGTTCTCAGCAGTTGAAGCCTGGCACAAGTCCCGTGCATCCCAACAGGGCTGGGATTTCACCCTCTGGCTGCAATGGAGTTATGCCAGCAGAGACACTGCTCCAAACTCCCTATTTCTGTCAGTTGCTCAGTATTCAGTGCTACTGGAGTCCCAAAGTAGATCTTCCCACAAGAAATCTGCCAACAAGAGCAAAAGCTAATGTGTAATATTTTATTGTATAGAGATTAAAAATGTACAGATGCCTGCAAATGCCACCTTTCACCAAGCCTTACCAGCCCATTACCATATGTCAGACAAGCCCTTAAATTAAGCTACAGGTTCAGCTTTATAACACTGATGACACTTCAGCTCCCTAATGGCACATCAGTGTGTGTTTAACAAGCTGGCAGCCAGTCTGGCAGTCTGGAGACCCCAGCAAACAGCAGTTTAGTGTCTTCAGCATCTTGAACACACCATATTCTGCCATCAGGGTCAGTATTTCCCCAGGGAAATAGGAGTGATGCCTGGGAATGCCACACAGGTTTGAGAGGAACTTCATCCAGAAGTCAGTGGGGCAGGTGCATTGGGGAATCCCTGCTCTGCTGGGGTCTTATTCCCAGCACAGGAACACATCCAAGCTGCCCTCCTGCAAGGTACTTGCAGGATGCCTGAAGCAGGAAGGTATCTGTTGTGTCTGATGCCAGGATTCCAGGCAGCTCCATCTACCTCCCTAGCTGTTGGCTAGGAAAGCTCAATGAGTACCAGGGCACTGTAAATACCACAGGGGGAAAAAAAAAATGAGCAAGCAAGCAAAGCAAACAATCAGAATTTGCAGCATTCTTATTCTTTCCAGAGGAGCCACGTGCTTGTGTGGCTGCACTAATGTAGCCTTTCCTTCCTGGGTTCCACACATTTTAGCGGACATTTTCATCTGAGAACCCAGTCCTGCAAGGTGTTTTTGGCAGTTACTCATTTCCCTCTTTTGGTGGATCCCTCACACATCAGTCTGGTGACTTACATGAAATCACTTACGTGGGGCAGTTCTAGATCAGCTTTCCTGCTCAGCTGTGAATCAGCTTGAACCAGAGGAATTTGGGTCTAACTTTGCCCCATACAGATGGAGAGCATAGGAGTTGTTGCCTCTTCATCTTTTCCAGTAGAGCTCCAAAGGACTAGTCTCAAAGCCCACTACCACTCACAACTGCTGTTTCTTGGGTCTCTGGTGAGTACTCTGGCAAAACCCTGACCTCTCAGCCTTGCACCTTCATCAAAGTGATCTTTAATTAAAAGATTTAACAAGTGCAGATGAGGGGATGAGCACTTTCCCACTGTAGCTGTGCCAGAAATAACCCACACTCTGTTCACAGGAACTCCAGTCACAGTCACCTAAACCAGTTCAGTAACTCCAGCTTACATAGGGAAAATAGATACCAGCTTTATGCCAACAAAAATGAGGAGTGTTCCCTTAAACTGCCCCACTGCTGAGGCTGATAGAAGAGACTAGCACTTCACATTGGAGGATGAGGGCAGTTCCAGTGGGACACCAGGCTCTGACAAACCTCTGCCTTCCTGACTGAGCCAAGTTCCTTGTTTCACACACACGAGGCTCACACGGGACAGTCGGCACTGGGGAGTGCCCTTCAGATAGCAGTAAGCTGAGCCCTTGCCTATCAGTTTTAGCCAGGGGAGGCAACATTTCAGAAGCCTTTGGAAATGCCTTCTCCTTTTGCCAGCCCAGTCTTCTAGGAGTGATTCCCACAGTCCATGAGCTCGTCCCACGACACCCCTGTGGCAGAAGTGTGTTCCCTTGGAGATGAGAAGGGTCTTGTAACTCCTTCCACTTCAGGAAGGGTTTTGCATCTCACTTCTTCTCCAGTGCCTGGGGGAGGTATGCAGACACAGCACATCACCCTGTCTGCTGCCTGGCTCCACAGAGCCTAATGGGCTGGAAGTTCAGCCTTCTTCTTGCATCATCTAATGCTGACCTTCAAAGGAAAAATAGGGGATTTATATCCAGGAAAGAGGCTTTGAAATTTTAATTTGGTTTGGATTTACTTTTTGAGATAGGGATTTGTGTTTCTTTTCTATATTCTTGTTTCTTTTTTTTTCTTTTTTTTCCCCCAGTAGCAGTGTCAGCATCTTTCCAAAAATTTGGTGGTCTTAACAATATGGACTACTACCTTTTTCAAATCTTAATAAGCAATAGGGTGTGTTAAAGATGGAAAAAAACCCCAGCCTTCCCACAGATGTGTTTCCTAGGCAGAGGAACCACTTTGTTCACACAGGTGCCATGACCCCCACCCTGCCCAAGGCTGTCACCAGTCCTCCCCCCAAGCCTGCCAGCAGTGCCCCGTGTGTGAGGGCTGGGTTCCTGTGCTGCAGATAGCGTGCCTGCCCTGTGCTGGCAAGGCAGAGGCAGCTCCAGCACCTGGTGGAGGAAGGGGGTGCGGTGCTGGGATGAGTAACTGGGAATATTAGCCCTCCCCTCGGTGCTGTGCAAACAAGGCAGCCGTGCTGCCGGGGATGTGGCTCACTGCTGACAGGCACCAGGCACGGAGCAAGCTCCTATCTGCAGAAGAGCATGTAGACACAGCCTCGCTTGTTTAGCTCTGTGTTAACAGCAAAAAACAAATCCTAAATGGACTAAACAAATCTCATCGTGGCAAAGTGCTTCATCAATTACTAATTCAGCCTCTGGCAGACTAATAGGGAATAAAGCTGTTTACCTCAGAGTATGACACATTTTTCTTCCTTGTCTTCTCCCTGTGGCACCTGTAGATAGATTCTGCTGTGCAAAGCTTTGTGTCAGTGACTAATGAGCAACAATTGCTGCAGAATTCTATAGGCTGCATATCATCACTGCTATTAAAGACATTAGGAAAAGCCCTAAGAATCATCCACCTGGGCCAAAAAGTAAAAAAAAAAATCTTCTTTCAGAGCCTCAAACCTGATGATGCAGCACATTTCAAGTGCCACTGGCAACAAGAAGAGGTTTTGTACCACAGCTTTTGTATTTTCACTTCCATTTTCTGGCAATATATAACAACAGCATTCAGATAACAAAAGAAATTGTTCCTTCTGAAAGCCATGAATCTATGTGAAGTAAAACGGGTACTCCAAGCGGTCCTCTGAAATAAGCACCCCTGGGAAGGTACTGTTTGCAACCAAGTTATAGTTTGGGATCTTTTAAAAGAGGAATTAAAATGCCTTACAGTGATGTTTGTAAGAACCATTTGACTGCATCCTGTGTTGTTGCCCCATGTTGTGTGAGGTGTGGGAGGGAATGGAAAAATAAATGGAGTACAATGAAAGCTTCCTAGGGTTTCCCAGCTCTTGGGCTCGCTGATAGCAGACATTTCAGGAACACAGGTTCCCAGATATTCCTGAGTAATCCAGACAGGGCAGCACAGAATGGGACCGTGCAGACAGTGAGTTACTGGGAAACAGGCGTTGCACATTGCATTCAAACACAACTTCAAGGCATGGGCTCAGGAGGGGCAGCACAGCACAGTGGTGTGGGCATGGCACACCAGGGCCAGAGCTGCTGTGGGCATGGCACTCGCAGGAATACAGCCAGCCAGCTCTGTATGATCCCACAGCAACCCCAGGCACAAAAGCTGTGCAACAGGCTCTCGGGTTACCAGTGCACGTCATCAGCCTCGGACCAGCTGGGTGAACATTCCCTCCTGGCATCCTACGCCTACCCCCAGGTTAACCTTTAGAGGCCTCATTTAGGTCTCCAGGAAATCCTACAAGAAAACAGTGGAGTAGGCACCACGTACTCAAAGGGGATTTTACCCACAGGAATCAATCTGTATCCATTGTCTCGTTGAATGCAGCTTCATTTTAGGAAAGAGGAGCGTGGTTCCTCACTGGCACTGCTGGGGATATAGTTAATCCCAAGCCATCAGATGCCTTCACTGCTTTCATTTAAAGGGGTTTGCCAGCTGGGTGCATTTCCACTGTTGTAGAACTTGTACTACAGGAAATAATTATTGTTTCTGTTCCGCTGGGTCTCCTTGACCAACAAAAGGCTTTAGTAATAGTAAAATATAAGGTAATGTCTTCATGTAACAAGTCACTCCATTCCCTTCCAGTTACTATTAGACATGTACAAAGGAGAGCTAAAGATTTGGTTCTTGCATGGACTAATTTTTTGTGGTTTTAACCATTAATATACTGGTGCTGCCCAGAATACTTCTTGATGAGATTAAATTTAAAGCTTTTCTAAGGGTCTCATCTTTGCTGCAGAGTGGTATTAGAATATAGAATGTATTTTCTGAAAAAGAATGATTAATTATTGCAATTTAGCTTAATAAGCAAACACAAATGAAGTCTTATATAGCCAGAGGACCAAAAACTCCAGTTAATTCACTTGCACTATTGGTGCCATAGTTTCATTATGTTCTTCAGCCGAGCCAGATTAAAATACTGAAATCTTAGCACACAAGAAAGTTATTCTGTATTGCAGATATTTCATTACTGGTAAAATGAATAGTATCTTATACCCATTTAGCATCTTCCATAGATGCTTCCACAGGAGGCACATCATCTGTGTGTTGTCATTTAGTCATCCATCTCTTACGACAAAGCTTCAGCTGCTGTGATGCAGAATTGAGAGACATCAACACTTCGATAACACAGTTCAGTAACCCCCTAAGTTACATCCTGATTCATGTCAGATGCCATGTAAAAGATACATAGTGACACATATCATGAATATTTTTGTACAGATTTTCCATATTCAGGTTCATTTTTATCTTATGTTATATCAAGAGTTTTTAAAAAGTTTCTGTAAGCCAGGCTTTAACCAGATGTTAATTTCAGAAGTTTGATGGCACCATTCTGGTTTTGAAATCCAGCCCTATACTGGAACTAAGATGAAACTCTTGAGTGTATATGTTACGTTAAGAAACCTCCCCATGGCACTTGTCAGCCCAGGTACCAAGGAGAAGTCATGGCCAGAGGTGTGCATCTGACCATCCCTGTACATCTGCAATGCACAGGGACCATGGTGCAGTACCAAGATCCCATTGCTGACTGGACTTTGCTTGTTTATTCTGTCAGAGACCTTCTCAGCACAGCCTCTACCATGGATGCTCAGCCCCAGGAAACACATCTGAATTCCCAGCAGTGGGAGCCACCCCTGCAGTTCCCCTCAGCCTTCTCTGAAGCCTGCAGGGCAAGGGAGCTCCCTTCTGATGGCCTCCCTGCACGCCTGTGGAACCACAGCGTCATTTCCCTTCCTGCTATTTAATTTTCCAAAATGTGTCTGTGCCAACACAACTGGGTTTCTTTTCCAGCCAGATAAGAAGTGGCTTTTCCAATGTGTTCACTTCTCTTGAGTTAGGAATTGTGATCTTTCCATATATTTATTTATCCCAGCCATGTTGCTGTATTTCTGAACAGGAATGTCAGTAAATCCTGAAGAAGGTTAAAAAATCAAGCCAACCACTACTGTATTACCCATTCCAGGTTTCTCTCCCAAGTTTTTATCCTTCACCTCTGCAGTCACTGATTCTGGTGGTCACTACCCTAGAGAACTCATCTCAGCTTTGCAGCTTCCCTTAATTAGCAGGTAGCAGAGCAACACATAATTAGCCATGAGTGTTGTCTGTTTTCAGCCAAATGATGCACCTGTGGAGGGTGCAGGGAATTCACGTGGAGCATATGTCACACAAGCCACTCCATGCTGGCATTACGACCATGCAGGCTCTTCCTGGGAGAGCCCACCAGGTTACCCAACACCTCAGCAGAGAGGTGTAAGACACTCAGAGCCCTCTAATTTCATGGGCTGGATCTGGCACGGAGGTGCCTGGGCTGCAAATCACAGACCAGGTGAAGGGCCATGTCAGAACACTTAGGCTTTTTATCAACCATCACCTCCCTGAGCCCAGTAGCAACACTCATTGGCAAGAAACCCATTGCTAAGGGTTCATCCTGCAGCTGAAATCAGCAGTGGTGGCTGATACAAAACACTTGCTTTCTTTCATGACAAGACTGGGAAATATTAACTTTTACCACAGCTTGGGCAGAGATATGTCAAAACAAAACTGTTTCAGGTCCATGGTAATTTAATCATATTCCTTCAGTTTGTCAAATGGAATAAAAAAACTCCTCAAAACAGTTGATTTTGGTTCAGCCTGGAATGAGCAGGTACCTACCCAAGCTGCCAGAATACTTCATAGGAACTACATTTAAATTATTTCATATCCTTGTTCTCCTACATGTACCGTGTTCCCCCATTTAATTTTCCATCCCACTGTCCTCCCTCACCAGCTACAGGGCCTCCCATGGTTTCCTGGGCTGTGACACAGCACAGGAGTCACTGCCCTGCTGGAAGTCTCAGCCACAGAGGAAAATTGAGAACACAAGGTATCCAAGCCACCAGTTCCCATGGACACTGCCACTGCTCAGGCAGGGGACTTCTCTTCCTGGCTGACCTGGCAAACACAGCCTCAGCATTGCAGAGCCATGATCTTTTTCAGCAAGGAAAACACCTCACCTGGGGGAAAATAAGTGTCAGAGTACCATAGTTCTCCGTGGGACAAAATTTGTTGTTAGCAGCTCTCCTGCCAAAAGCCCACTCAGAGAAGGTCAGCAGGGAATGAAGGCTGCCCTACACGTGCCCTGTCAGCAGCAAAGGGGACAGGCATCAGCAGTGACCAGGAAAGCAAGGCAAAAACAAAACCCCTAAATACAGTTTGACATTGAATGCCATTACACCATCAGTGGAGCTTTCCTGGCCTTCCTAATCAGGCCTGACAGTTTTGCACAAGCGCTGTCAGTCTTTGCACTGCATGACAGTGTCCCCAGGACTGCCTGTCCCCCACTACAGCTCTGCTGGCCCAGCAACCAAAGGGTTCCTTCTGCTCACAGGGGTATCACTTGTTTGAAGAATCAGTCACTAGACACCAGGTAGTTTCCACAGCTGGTAATTAAACTGATTTGGACATCCAAAGGGCAGTTCTCTTGCCAAAGTGCAGCAGCTCCTGGCAGCCAGCCCTCCCAGCTCTCCTGCATCCTGCTGTTGCCATGGCAGCACGCAGGATGTGCACCTCAGTGCTTATTAGGCTCCAAGAAGCATTTCCCATGTGAGTTGGGCTGCACAATCACAGGCACAGAACTGTTAAGCCATCATGGTATGAAAATTAGCCACAGCCACAATTACACAAAACTTGAAAAGCTGGAAGAGCGCTCATCTTTGTGCATTGGCTGTCCTCATTTAAGGCTTTATATCTTGACTTGCAAAACACTCCAATAAGCAGTGTCTGCTGCAGGTAAACAGACATCCTTTATGTTTGACAACGGAGCCCTCTCCTCTCCTCTCCTCTCCCTGTAATTCCTTTAATATTTACCCCACATGCAGTGTTTATTCTGCAGTTAGAAAGAAAATTCATCTGCTATGGCTGTTCTAGCAAACCCTTGGAATTTCCAGCAGCAAATGTAAACTCCAGTGTGACCTCCTGGGTCTGTAAAGCCTGTTGCCCTCAATTGTATTCTGCTGCTTTAGTGTTTTAGGATTCCACAGATGCCAAAAGTAATCTTAGTTTACATTATGTACAGGCAGGTCAAAGACACTGCTGAAGCCAAGAGCACTACTTGGACAAGTAGGGCCTACTTGCAGAGAAAGGATTACTGGTAGAAATAGGGATTAAAAGACTGAAGCTGCCTGACTGTAAGTCTCTCTTTTGCTGTGTCAGATCTTGATTATGTAAACTGGCCAGTGGAGCTGAAAGACTCCCAGGATGATCACAGCCCCATCTACATTCACCCGGGGTAACACTTGGGACTTTTAAAGTTTGTCATTTTGGAGGACACCCAAGCCTAATTAGAGTAGGGACTGGGTGCTGCCAAAAGCACAGAAGCAGCTCAAAATGTCTTCATACTGTAATATTGCAAAAATGGCCCACTGAAGCTGAGCAGTTGGTCCAGGCTCTGGCTCCCTGCAGAGGGGAGTATTAAGGAGTGAGGCAGTGACAGGCGGTGACAAAGCACACATGGCAGTGACCCTTTCAGGGCTGTCACAACACCTGCAGCAGGATAGAGTGTGCTGGCTGACACAAGGGTCCTCCAAAACACACAGGGGACAAGGTCACTAACAGGTGCAGGGTGACCCAGGATGTTAATCTGAGACATTTGCAGCAGAGGGGGAACACTGCGATGTTGAGTCATGTCACACAGCAACTGCTTTGACCCAATGACTTGGCTACAGTGTGGGATGCTGCCCTGCCTCCTGCTTGCTAGCTGGGGCACAGGGAGTTTTGCCCAGATCACAGCCTGAGAGTGTGAGATAGAGTGGCTCTGACTTCTTTCTTTGTTTCTTTCTTTCCTAGTTTCAACTACAAGCAAGTCTGTCTTTTACAGTGCATCAGTCACCAGTGAACTCTGGTCTTCTGTGTAGTGGTGGACACCAGAGCCCTGATGTTTGTGCTGGATGGGGGCCACCTCTGGGTAGGACTGTCCTGCACACATTACCTCAGTCCTGGTTTCTCTCTGGCAGTGCACAATGCTCCTAGGGAGCACCTGCAGCCTGCTAAAAACTGCTGTGCTGGCAGGAGCCACAACCTGTGTGGGATGGGGAAAAGGTCCACGCAGGGACAAAGCTGAGACCCTTTTCCTAGGAGCCTCCAGCAGCAGCAGCGTTTCTAACCCCCACATATGAAAGCCGATATTTCAATGCCTGCAGGTTGCTATGGACAACCAAAGATTTCTAAACTGCAGAGCCCTGACTCTCTGTACACTGCAGTAGCACTTGGCATTTCTGTTACCAAGAGCTCCATGCTGGAAGGGAAGGAATACTCTCATCACTTTTCAACTGAAGATGTGGAAGGTCTGATCACAATGAGGTGAGAGTGATCCCTCAGGTAACCCCCAGCCATTTAAATGCTCTAACACCTGAAGCCACCTTCTCAAACATGCAGCCCCTTCAGGCAGGGACAAACTGTGTGGAAGCAAGTCACTGGGAGAAGAGCATGTTCTAGAGAATGACAGGGGAGTTAATGCGGGGAAAGGTCCGTGGACTCAAGTTTCCCCAAGTATGTAATCCTGGCTGCAGAAATTGCATGTCTGAGCTGACTGCACACACAGAGTGCACAGCAGACCTGCAGGTGGGATCTCTCCTTTGCAAAGGGCCTGCCACAGCATGTCCCTAGGCTTGTGTTCCCTGGCCACCGTTCCCTTGGGAAGAGGAGTGTCCTTCCCAGCTGAACAGAGGCGTAACAGCATAAACAGCAAGGGCTGTTCACAGAGCCAAGGAAGCCAGGGACAGGATGCAGAGCCTCTAGGACCCCCCAGCCATGCAGCTGACATCCACCATGTGCAGCCCGTCCTCACACGGTTTCAGGAATGAAGAAAACACACCCCGATGTTTTTTCTTTGGATCTATCTCATGAACAATAACTTGGTGTTATTAAGGCTGTGCCTTCTGGATGCAGGGCTGCTGTTGCCTGCAGTAAGAGTAGGGGAAACAAGGCAGAGCAAAATGATCTGTCAACATCATGCAGGAGGTCTGTGGCAGAGCTATGGCAGACCTGGGTCTCCAGAGCCTGCTGACAGCATTGCAGTTTCTTCCAGGACCAAGATAACTATGAAATGTAGTTTCCCCCATTTTAAGAGGGTGAAAATGCCTGTATAGTCTGCAGTCACAGAAGCTCACCCCCTATAACTCCTTGGCATAAGCACAGAAATGAACCTTCATTTGGTCTGAAATGAAAACTGTGATACAGAAGTATGCAGAATAGTTAGTAAAAATACAACCTGAACCATTATTTGGCTTGGCACAGGGAAGATGTCAAGGAAGAAGATCTAGGAGTAGGTTTTGCTTATCCTGCTCCATCTATACTCACAGCATGTCCTCCTCTCTTTCAGCAGATCTGCAAAGTGCCACCTAATTTATCTTCCCACCGACACAGGCACAGAGAGCACACCTCCATGATTAATGGACTTTTACACTCAAGGAGTTGGTTACACTGCAGCAGACAATGAGAAATCTGATTACCACTAATATGATATTGACACAAATGTCAATGCTCTAAGATACACAATATCATTTTGAATCAAGGATCCCTTTCATCACTGTTATTTTTGTTTTCTTCTTCCATTTTAATAAACTGTTGTTCTGTGTATTACCCAAATACTCCAGACTAAAACTACCTGGGGACAATTTAGTTTTTATGTAACACTTCATTAAGTAGAAGGCACCTTTAACAAAAAGGTGTTTGTGCTCACATAGCTGGGTTATCATTTAAATACACAATGCTTCAGCTGAAAACTGTGGTCAGCTGATGCCTTTACCTTAGTGATAACTAATCTGCTGTTTTATCAAAGTCAAATATAGCAGGAAGTGGGAATAATGGCTTTTTCTTTTTTGTCTCTGGAGAATTGTACTGATCAAATCAGCCAAATCTTGACCAGTCAAAAATTAAATTAAGCTTGGCAATTGTGTTCTGTAGCCAAACAACCGAGGCAGTCAGATCCACAGGTGGGATCTCTCCTTGCAAAAGGCCCACACAGCATGAGCAGAGGCTGCAGCTGGCCAAGGCCTCTGTTTCCCTGGCCACCTTCCTTCCCAGCTGGGCAGAGGCACAACAGCGCTACCCTGCTGGGTTGTCTGTGGGAGCAGTGGCTCTAAGAGAGGCTGAAGGGCTTTGGACTCATAAATGTCTTTACTGGTTCTGGATCTCCTTGGCCAGGCTTCTGGTTTTGGACTTTGGGGCCTGACCTGGGCCTTAGCTCTTGGTTCTGGTTTGGCTGATGGAAGTGGATCCATGGAGAAACCCAGTTACCCCTCACAGAGCAGTTGTTAAATTTCTATGTCTTCAAGAAGGAATTAGCTTAGTTCCTGACAAAAAATTTCAATAAAGACTGGAGAAATAGGCAGGGTGGGAGAAGAAGCAGTATTTCTGGAGATGAGAGCTCTTAGTAAAACCCATGCAACCATTAAAGTCCTTAAATTCTGCATGAAGACTACATAAGAAGGTATACCAAGCCTTGAAGCAGATCTCACTTCTCTCCATAACCTAGAGCAGAGGAAGAGGAGCAGGAGGCAGGGAAGAGTCAAACCTTATGACCAAGTGGCAAAGTTCACTCATCACTTTGAATTCTAAAGCTGTGCTTCAAGAAATGAAAGCCCAAGCAAAATAAACACAACAGAGCTTACCTGGGAAAAACCCAACTGGAAATTGACAAAACCAAAACACTTTAAGAGCTAAAGAAATTTAAAAGTAAACTCTTTGTACTTTTTATTAATACATTACAAGTTCAAAGTCTGCAAAACCATTTGTAACCACCTGAAAGGAGCAAAGTATGAGATAGAAATGTACTGTGAGGCTGCTAAATAATCTCCTTGTCTCTGTACTGCTGCAGGATGCAATAGGGTGGCGTCTGCATCCAGCCTCTCTGGAGCAATGGACTGAGGCACTGTCCAGAGGGAGTGCAAAGGAGGACACAGAAGCTCAAACTGATAAATGCAACAGAAAAAAACTTCCCACAGGACACTGAAATTATGTTTCTGCTGCTCATGCTGCTTGTATCAACTCCATTAAAAAAAACCCAAATATTTTCTTTTCTCCTTCATACATTATGGCCTCTGACTTGTTTCATCTGACCAACACATTACACCTTCTAGACATCAATTACTTACATGGCCATTTCTTTCTTCTTCAACACCTAGAAGTTCTCACAACCCAGTGTTATCATAGATTTACTATTTACTGGTAACAGCATATTTAAAATCCAAAAAGAAGGAACTGGGTCACAAAGAAGAGCAATTTGGTACTACCTTCAGGCTTGGGAGAGAGTCAATTCTATAAATCAGGAATACAGTGCAAAAGAATATAGAGGAAAAGGTTGATTCTGAGTCTGCCCAGCTGCTCTCTGGCCATGAAAAGTCACAGGACAGCTCTGCTCTTCACCACCTCCTAAGGATTCCCAGATCACATTCCAACTCCCAGAATATTAAAAGGGAGGCAACAAAGACCACTGCATGAATAGCTGGTCATCAGTTCAATCTATCAAACAACCAGAGACAAGAATTACAATTACAGCAGTGAATATAAAAACTATGGAAATACCATCCTTTTCACACCGCAGGCTATGAAACAGGCAACAGCTGTGACAAGGAAAAACATTCCCTTCCTGTTCACTGGAGATTTAAAACACAGAGTTAGACAAGAACCTGCCTGGTGAAGGCAAAGCAAGTCCTGCCCTGGGGCAAAAGGGTAGCCTGAATGACTTAGAAAATGTTATCCAAGCCCTGTTTGCTACAGTCATGCATGTGCAGCACTTCCCTGCTTCAGTCCTGACTGCCCAGCAGTCCGTGTCTGCTGGCAGATGAGATCACGGTTACTGCAGTAACCACAGTGGCTTTCTTTTCTAAGGGAGAGACAGAGGAGGGGTTTTTTCCCCAAACTGTAAGTATGTTCAACTCACATGTTGGCAAGCCTGCTGCTGCCAGGCTCTGCAGACTAGCCCTGAACCAGACAGTAACAGCAAAGTTTGGTCCTTTTGTGGGCACTGGTGGCATCCTCAGTACAGAGCTGAGCACTGCTCTCACAAGAGCTTTGGGGGGAAAATATATTTCAAAAATGCCCCCACAAATCTCCTCCCTCCAGATTTTAAGCCTCCAGGTTTTAAAAATAGCAAATCAACACCTAAGTGAAATAGGTACAGAGACAACCAGAATAACCAAGGGCATAAAGGGTTTTCCTTGGCAGGCTGGGAACAAGCTTGGTGTGAGACTGGGACTTGCTGTGCACTCTCTAAATCAGACTTGTGGACTGCCCTCTGCAGTGTGTGTTTGGCTGTGTGTGGGTGACACGTTCCTAAGTCACTGGGGCTGCTTTGCAATTCAAGCTGCACGTGTAACTAACCCTCCCACTTTGAATCTAAGTGTGAGAGCTTGATCTGACACACTTATCCTTATTTTCTTTAAACATTTCTCCCTTGCTTTACATTTGCTTTCTGTAACAGAGAAATAAATGTAATTTTTCCTTTGGTAACCTATGAGCCCTCCATTGGTACTCATGTTGGTGACAGGGATAGTCTCTAATGCTCCTAATCCTCCAGTCCTTATTTGGGGAGTCATTACTTGGGGAAAATTAATTTTGAATCATCAGACTTGGCCTGAAATTGAACTGATGGAGGATTTATTCACCCCAGATGAGCATTAAATGCTCACCAGTAAGAGCAAAGGCTTTGTAAACTGGCCCTTACTATGCAAGCGGGACTTCACACTTCCCATCCCAGTGCTGATCAGCTGCAGAGATCATCCCAAGGACATTTCTATTGCCAAGTCTGAATTTTTTATGAATTTATTGATGCCTGGTTTTATGCCTTGTATCCCATTTTCAATGCTATATGTAAAACTTGGGGATTTTCCCCCTCGCCCCCTCTGTGAGTCTTCCACAGGAATGTGCTTCTTAGTGCTGGGCACATCTAAAAGGAACACAGTCCCCTTTTCCCCAGCACATAGTTTCTCATCCTATTATATTTATGTCTTTTCTTGACTTTCTCTGCCAGCACATTTGTTGTGAGAATAACAGCCCTTGGGGGCAGATAGTTCTTATATTTTCATCATGCCTAAAATAATTGTACCTACTTATTAAAAACCTCACTGACAGTATGATACAATAACCTTTGTGATTTATTTATCTTTCAGTGAGCTTTAGAGAGAGCTACAGCCTCTTTTCCAACTTTGTGCTGTATAGTCCATCATCAAATGCAGTGCTGCACTCTGATGTTTGCAACATCCTACAACAAGAAATTGGTCTTTGAATTACATTTATTCTACCCTTATCTAGTTGATTTACTGGTTCCTCAAATATTTGCTTCCTTGTACTATCTTAATTGAAGATTCCTCCTGCCTATATTTCCTTTCACTGCTATTCTACAGAGGGCAACACTCTCCAAACAGCACGTTTATGCTGTCTTCCCCATCTTCTGTGTACACCACCATTCCTACTTTTTTTCCATCACTTTAGCCTTTTAAAAAAACTCCAAGCAAAAGATTTCAAGGGTACCAGCTGGGTTCTATGATGCATTTTTCCTTTTCCACAAGGAAGGCCTGCCTTCTGAAGGGACAAGCAAAACATTTACAGGCAGTAAGGAACCTCCTTAAGATGCCTTGTCCTTGCCTTGTTCTTGCCCAGTATTTTTCTGATAACTTGGCATGCAAGGCAGAAGAATTTGAATTCCAGACCTCTGCCCTGCAGGGTCTCAGCTCTCACAGAGCCTAGCTTGGAAAGCAGGAGGAGCCCCCACAGACTGGGACAGCAGAAATGAGGTTTTTCCAGAAAAACAATGAGGTTTTTGCTAGCTCAGCCCCGCTATCAGCTGGATCTGTACCTGCGAATGAAAAGCAGATGAGAAGATGTACAAATTTAATCTGTTGGCTGGTGTTTGTTTTTTCAGTCAGGTAACTGGAGTATGGGATCTCGCATCACAGAGCACACTAACAACCCCAGAGTGTAAGTAAGCAGTAGCAAAAATCAAAACAGAAGAGGAACAGGTTCTTCCAGAAAAATACCAAACAGAAAAGGCAATTCTTAAATATGTTAGAGGCAGACACACTTGGGGCTGGTACAACTCAAGGGCAATGACTAAGGACTTCATTTTATGATCTCTCCTGTGCCACACCAGCCTCTTACATAAAGTAGAATTTATTGGCAAGGATTTACACAAATTAATTCTAGGCATTCCTTTGATTGGTTTAACCCTTCTAGGTTTTTTGATTTTTCACTGTCTTCTGTTTATCTGCAAAAGAGAGAAGGGCCATGGAGCACCTGATTATCTCCTCACAATATCACAGTGTGTGGCATGGCACATGATAGCACTCCTTATTCTTTTCTAGTATCTGTTAAAGTTTCCCAGGACTACTAACACATTTGCAGACAAATTTTGAAGCCTCCTTAAAAAAAAATTTTAAAAAATCAACCAGAACTATGTCTTGTTGGATTTTTTTTTAATTATATCCAAAGAAGGCAACTAATAATGACCACAAATAAGAAAGATTTGCCTGAAGTTGCTAATAATATTCTATCATCTTATCTTTAAATTCTTTTTTGTGGATTAGAGATGCTAATAATTATGAATCCCCCCAGCTTCATTTTATCTAGTACAGTAACATAATCAAAATCATCCTGCTCTAAACTCTCTATAGCAAATCCTCTTTCTAAAGCCCTTGTTCAACGTTCTCCCTCATTTTAATTTCCTTTGCTGCTGCTTATTATGCTAAAGCCTGGCATCTGAAAACTGAACAGAAGCATTAACTATTTTTTCAGCACAGACCATACCTATTCTTTCTGGATACTATTGCTGTAAGTATATTTTTAAACATCAGGCTGCCTGCAGTGAAATACCTAGCATTCCCATTGTGTTACTGTAAATACCATTATTATGAAGAAATGATTGACTTTGTTTAACACACTGTTCAAATAGTCTGCAGAGATGTCTGTGGTGCCAGTGTCATTCTCTTGCTTTAATTATAATTTTAATCATCCGTGATCTTCCATTTGTTTGTGCAGTAAGATAATTATTTTTTTCTATCACAAAGCACTGAAACGATGTCTTAGTATTATTATTTTTTATTATTGATTTGCACTACACTCCTGCTCACTCATTCCACTAGATCCTCTGTTTCCAGCTCTGCTCCTAAAAACCCACCATCTAATGGTACATCCTAAAATGGCCTGCTGCATCCTAAACACCATCTATTTTCTTCTGCCTCCTGCCCTGTGCTCATTAGCAGGTATTTGCTGTCTCATTTAGGCTTGGGCTTGCTATGCCCACCTGTAGGGCAGCAGAACAGTTCAGTACAACCACAGCTCTGGGACCTCTCAAAGCCCTTTCTGTGCCCTGTGGCAAATAACCTACATCAGCTGTCCTTCCCAGCTTGTGGCAGGCTACACCCTTTCCTTTCAGGTCCACAAATTCCCACAAGAAGGGAGATGTAAGAGGGAGGAGCCCAATCCCATGTGACATGTCTGCCTTTAGCACTGTTCCATGCTATCTTTGGCAGGCAGATCCAGGGGAAGTCGCTCTGCTCTGCCAGCCGGACACCCTGCGGTCCCACGGCGTGACACCAGTCCTGAGACAGCAGACTGCAGCACAGCACACAAAGCTCGGATGTGAAGGACCAACGTGAGGTCACTTCAAGCCCACTGGGAGCTCTGAGTCTCACCCTGCCCACAGGCACAGCAAGACATCAGTCACCCAGGTGACTGTCACTGCCTTGCAGCAGCTAGGGGGGCTGCCTTCGTAGGCAAGCGTCTTGGGTTGTCATGCAAGATGTAACCAAAGGTAAGTATTCTATTAGCAGCTGTTAAAACCAGGTGG